AGCAGCTGGTGCTCACTGCTGTGGATGGTGGGGGCCCGCCTAAGTCTGGTACAGCCCAGATCTCTGTGCGTGTTGTGGATACCAATGACAACCCACCTACCTTTGACCGTTCCACCTACACCGTGAGCCTTCTGGAAAATGCCCTGCCTGGCACGCTAGTGGTCAAACTCAATGCCTCAGACCCTGATGAGGGCTCCAACGGGGAAGTGGTCTACTCCTTTGGCAGCTACACCCCACAGAAGGTGAGGCAGCTCTTTAGTGTGGACCCACACTCAGGGGAGGTGCGGGTTAATGGTACTTTGGACTACGAAGAAGCATCCTCCTATGAGATCTATGTGCAAGCTGCTGATCAGGGCCCTGTCTCTATGGCTGGACACTGTAAGGTGCTGGTCAACATTGTGGATGCCAATGATAATGCTCCTGAAGTGGTCCTGACCTCCCTGTACAGCCCAGTTCCAGAGGATGCAAAAGCCGGAACTGTGGTGGCCCTGATGAGTGTTACTGATCAGGACTCAGGGCTGAACAAGCAGGTGAGCCTACGTATTCCCCCTGGCCTCCCCTTCACACTCAACTCTTTCAAGAACTCCTATACCTTGGTGACCCAGGGCAATCTGGACCATGAGAAAGCAGAAGCCTACAACATCACAGTTACAGCTACTGACTCTGGGACGCCCTCTCTCTCCTCCCAGAAGGTGATCCATGTGGAGATCTCAGACATCAATGATAATCCTCCACGCTTTGAGGAACCTGTGTACTCAGTTTACATCCCTGAGAACAACCCCCTTGGAGCTTTTATGTGCACTATCAAAGCCACTGACCCAGATGTCGCTGAAAATGCCTATGTGTCCTATTCTCTACTAGATGGGGAGATTGAAGGGCTACCTGTAACTTCCTATGTTTCCATTAAATCTGACAGTGGCAACATGTATGCTGTCAGGTCCTTTGACTATGAGACACTAAGGGAATTCCAGGTGGTTGTCCAGGCTCAGGATGCTGGGATTCCACCACTGAGCAGCACTGTCACTGTCTACATCTATGTGGTAGATGAGAACGATCATGCTCCACAGATTCTGTATCCTACCTCAACCAACACTTCAGCAGCCCTGGAGATGATCCCACGCTCGGCATATGCTGGATATTTGGTAACCAAAATTATAGCCATTGATGGGGACTCAGGACAAAATGCCTGGTTGTTCTTCCACCTGGTGCAAACCTCAGATCCAGGTTTGTTCAGGGTAGAGCTCCATACTGGGGAGATTAGGACTACTCGCAAACTGGGGGAGGACAGCACACCTACTTTCAACCTGACGGTGGAGGTGAGAGACAATGGAGAACCACCGATGTCCTCATCAGTAGCCATCACTGTTGCCGTGGTGGACAGAGTTTCCAAAATCATCCCTGATAAAAGAAGGCACTTAAAAAGTCCAAGCAATTACTCAGAGATCACTATTTATCTCATTATTGCTTTGAGCGCCATCTCCTTTGTTTTCCTTTTCACAATCATTGGGCTTACTGTTATCAAGTGCTACAGATACAGTCTGTATGGGGACTCATGCTGTGGAGGGTTCTGTGGGGTCAGAGAACGGTCCCCTACTGAATTATACAAGCAGGCCAACAACAACATCGATGCTAGGTTGCCTCATGGTTTAAAAGTACAACCCCATTTTATTGAAGTGAGGGGCAATGGGTCTCTCACTAAGACCTACTGCTATAAGGCATGCCTAACAGCAGGCTCGGGAAGTGACACTTTTATGTTTTACAATACCTGTGGCCCAACAGGAACTACTGGTCCCTCTGCAGTCATGACTGAGAGGCATCTGACAGGACAGAGTGGGCAGAGCGCACAAAACCTGATCATACTTAAAAATGACTCCATTACGCCTAACGAGGTGAGGCTACATTGATAAATGGCCAGCATAGTGCTCTGAACAAATCTGTATTTAAGCAGAAGTTCAAATTGGAAACTCAGATTAAAGTGTATTCCCTTTCAGGCTTGCTCACGCATAGCTATGAAACATGGTTCTAATAAATTTAATCTGTGCAATGCATTTTGTTTCTAGGTAAATACTGGGTCTTTCAGGTCTGTTTGGTAAGTTCAGTATGTGCATCTGTTGTTTGAGATTCACTTCATTTTTGCAGTGTATGCTGTACTCAGTGTTGCCTCCTTCCCTTTTCTCTTACAAATCTAAAATTGCCTGCTGCCACAGCATGCTAGGGAATAACACATGAGGTCTTAAATTTTGGATGCTGAAACTAATGTTGCAGGAAAATATAAATTAAGAAAAAGTGATTAGGCTGGAAGTCAATAGATATGGCAGTTATGGATGTCTTCTACTTCACTGGTTTCATGACTAGACAAAGCTGTTGAATTTAGATCGTTGCAATAACATATGATTTGCATCCTAATATGGGCATATTTTAGTTATCTGAAAACTGCAGTCCCTCCTTTGATAATGTTTGTTCTACCCAGTGTCACATTTCATGCTTTCTGGGCAGTGACATCTTTGTAGAGAATTATGGCAAGTTCCTGTCATTATGTTACAGTGTGACAGCTTCTAACCTGCTGGGTTGCTACTGAAAATTCTTTAATACCTATGGTTTGACCAGCAGCATATTAACCTTTTCAATATTTTCCCACAGTGAAGAATTAATGGTTGCTTTATTCTAGCATACAGGCAGTCTGCAGTCAGTGTGTGTTTGCATGCTCTGTACAGTTTCCTTTTTACACATATTGGAACTAAACCCAGAAGAACTCACAAAAGAGACTGATTCTGGTTCACAAAAGGAAAATTGTGTGATTAGTGTGTGTTTGTGTCCTATGATTGTGGCAGGCATAAGATTAGTTCATGCACTAATTTGTGCTGTGTTTCCAGACATGGGAAATCTAGGGGAGTTACTGTGGTGGAATAGAAAGGAGCCTTGACTATTCTGCCATAGAAATATCATTTATTTCTTTATGTTTCTTTACCTATGAAGATATTAGCATCTTTTGCAACTCTTGTTTAGTTACACAAACATGCACAAATCTTAAGGACTAAGCAAGTCTTTCATAAAAATGCTTTTAGAGAGTAATGATCACCCATTCAACATTAATCCATCTAAAATTAATGCAGTGTTTTTCTGTAATTCACAGTGGCAGGGTATGGAATATTTTTCTTTTTTTTAAGGTACAGTTTTTATACCTTAAAGTCTTTCAGAGTATAACAAAATGCCTGGAATCTATTTGATATAGGAGGGAATGTGAGTGATACTGTGTAAGCGTATCTGCTGGAGAATCAAAGAGTGAAACATACCCCCTGAATCTGCTTTTTCTAGGGAAAAAAGAGAAGCAATAATTGAAAATAGCTTCACTTTGTATGCAAGACTAGTAGGAAAGTAATTTAACAGGCAGATTCTTACTACATTTGGAAATCACTCAATTGAATGCAATGAATTAGCAAGTTTTGAACACCAGTGCAGCAGCAGCAAAGCCAGCCCAAACTTGGAGTATGAAAGTAAAGAGATGTATAGGACAAACTAATGAATACCTGTGTGGGGTTAGGAGCAAAAAGAGGAATCAATTATTCAAATAGATCTGCATGATTGAAACAGAGGTGAAATTCTGACAAGTTCTACTAATCACAAGTTGGTTTTTTAGGTCTCTGCTTCTTAAATTGTCCTGTGGTAGCACATACTATGAAGATGCAAAGCAGGTGTACGTGAGAAAATGGGTGAATGTAATGGCATTCACTAATTACTAGCTCCTAGTTAATTGCATACTGTAAAATCATGCCTTTCTCTTATTTCAAGCTCGGCATGTGCACTGAAGCTGCCACCCATTCTTAGCAGCACTGAATGACACTTTTTAAGAATAATGATCTTTGTACTAGCAGATCTTCAGAGAACTGTTTTTCTTTCAGTTAAAGTGAACTTTTAATCAGGCTTTAAAAGCCCATGTCTTTACCTGTGAACTGTAACAGCAAGCATCATTGTCCTCACATTGATTTACAAAGTTCATTGCAGATGTGTTACTTTTGGATAATGTGAATAGGTCCTTTTTATTCCAGTTTTTGGAAACTAGTCTTCTATTAGTTGCTCGGTGATGAGGATGGGACAAGGTGAATGGGCTTTCTATGCCTGCATATTGTATGCAGGGTTTCACAAAAGCTAGTATTGTGTAAATGTTGTTTGTACAGTGAGAGAGAAAATATTTCAAAGTTATTTGGGATTAATCTCAGTGACACTTGGTACAATAAAGTCTTAGTCCTTTTCATATTTACCAGTAAGGTCAAAGATGTTAATAATTACTTCACACTAAGTCATCACTGACTTAACTTTCCACGAGGAAACAGTGGAAGGGGAAACCCAGTGTATTAAGGTTAGGTAGGGAATTCTTTATACCTGTTGAAGCACTTTTTACCTGTTGAAGCACCCCACAATACCAGCCGTACAAGTGTTCTGACTTGCACTGCTGGTGTTGTGGAGGTGGAATGGGAGCTTGTTTATGCAAGACATCCTGTGCTTCTGCAGACACCCTGCTTGCTTGTACAGTCAGTTATAGGTTTATAAGAATCTCTCAAACCAAGTGTGTTTTGTAAAAGCTTACTGGTGGTCACAGCTGCACTGAAAACCTTAGAAATGGGTATTGCTGGCAGGAGCCTGGTGATAAGGATGAGAAAACAGGGTTAATGGGTATCGTTCTCTCATCATCTGGGTAACTGCTGCAGCTGATGAGGCAGGCAACATATAAAGAGAGCAAAATACTGTGGCTTTGTTGCTGGTGTGTGTGTTTTTGGGCAGCCTGAATTCCAGCCTTTTGAAAGGGGGGTGCACTCAGCTATCAAGAGGGTGTGTGAAGATGTGTTTTTGTTACTGGGCACTGCTGCAGCAGTGATCTGTCAGTTTCAGGAAAGGTTTTGGTGCTTTAGTCTGGTGTCCCTTTTTTCATATGCCTGTGAAGAGGCTGAGTGATGTCTGGGTAGCTTCTGGTCCTTGGTTTGTCTTTTCATCTCTCCTGTCTTGTTCTTATCTACTCTACAGCTAAGCTCACCCATTATGTCTTGCATCTTATGACAACCTTTTCCCTTCAATGCAGGGAATAACAATGAAGCCAACAGGTTTTAACAGGAGTTTTCTGTCCCAGGAGGCAGCCTGACACATTCCTAATGATGAGTGAGCAGCCTGGATACTTCATAGAACTAGATATAAACTCTTCTTATTATACCTTCCCTTTCACCCTTTTTTGTGTGGTGACACATCTGTCTGACAAATATGATGTTTCATGTGATGTTCAGAAATAAATTTGCATGGTGCTCTACAGGCACTTTTCAGAAAGCGAAACAAAAGCTGCACATTAGTGACAGTAGCTCTCAGGGGTTCATTGGAGTTTTATGGCTGATTGCTCTGCTCCTGCCTCTTTGTATTTTGCACTTCGAAACCAGCTTGCTAAACATACAGGAAAAAACCAACACTTGTGGTGAGTACATCTTGATAGTGCTCTAAAATGCAAGCATATTTTGAAATGTCTAAATCCAGTAAACCTACAGTATTGCCTGGAGCAGTCTTTCCAAGAGATTTCTCACAGAGGCTTTAAAGGTATTAAAGGTGGAATATCTTACAATCTCGGTTCAAGAACTTAAGCCTTTAAGAAATTCTCCAGCCCCCTGACATTGTAAAGGTTAACTATAAATGTACGTTCTTTTGTTTAGTAGCAGCATCTGAACCTGTTCTACTAAGCAGGGACACGGCTCTGTGCTTCAGCACAGTCACGCTCTTGGTTTGATACTTTCTGCTGTGCCAGCAGAAATTTGCATCCAATCTTAAGCAGAGGCATTTTTCTTCTCTTGGCTCTCATTAAAGATACTTTACAGGAGCACTTGCCTTTTTCTTTCACCTTCGTTTTCTCAGTTAGGAATGGAAATGAACATGCTGGGGATAAAATATTTGGATTTCTGAATTACACCCTTTTCCAGTTTCCATTCTGGTTTCTTGTATGATATATACATATTAAGTCTATAAATAGTTTGTTCCACATCAAATTAATTCTAAATATTTACAGAAGGAGATCAGGAATAGAAGGCTCCATTTCCCCACATCTGTTAGTTGTGACTCATTGGAAAACAAGCAGAGCTGTATGCGGTCAGGGGTTCTGAAAGGCCTTTTATTATTGCTTCAAAGCAGATGTATTTGATAAATATACCTTATATCATTCTGTTGTGCATTTGTGTGAAAATAGGAATGGAGTGGGGTGTTTTTAGCAGTCTTATCATCTGATAATTGTTTGCAAGTATTTGATTCACACTTCTCTACCTCTAGCAGGCCCTGTATTGATTTTCACGGCAGGACAACATTAACAAATTTTAGGAATTCCTTCTGTCCCAGGGACAAATCCTCACCATGTTGAAGTGTCAGCTAAAAAAGAGAACTGAGCAAAATGTTTGTAACAATGTACTTTCAACTAAATTTATTCTCCATGAACTAATGCAATGATTCTTAAATTAACCCATTTTGTGCCATTTGAAAACAACTGTGTGAAATTTTGCATGAGCTTTTTTGCTACTTGTGTGGCTGTGTTTTATATTACATTCACTTTGCTTATCAGATTTTCTGTTAGGGTTGGCTGTTTATTACTAGTTACATAATACTTGTGGTTATGTGGGTGGCAGAATGTAACCTTGCTGACTGGAATGTTGGCATGAGGTGTTTACCTGGTGTGGCGACAACCACTTCTGTAGGTGCCTGGATAGATTTTGACTCATCTCACAAGTATGATGATGTGAGCTGTTACTAAATCAGAAAAAGTAGGTGATGGGAGAAAGAGGAAATGATTGATTAGTTCTGTGCTGGATTGTGTGATTTTTCTCACCTCAGCTGATGAGTGCCAAGAACAGGACCGCTGGGCTTGATACATGGCCTCAAAAAGTCTCTGAGGCTAAGATTACCTTAAAGTTAGTAGAATGGATTGGCACATGATAAACAGGGTCTTGTAGTGAGTTGGGAGCTAAGGAGCTTAAAGGAACAATAATATTTTCATCAACATGATGTGACATAGTAAGAGTACAGGAAGTACAACTGGGAAGTATCTGGAACTCTTCAATGTCTGTATTCCTCTTTGGGTTTCCTCTCTGTACTCATGCTTCCTGGCCAGCTGTGCCTTCTCCTGGTGGTGTCGATTTATGGCACAGCTACACTTCTCACAGCAAAGTCTGTGACAGGGCTTTGCAGAGGAGCCCATTGACAGCTCCTGGGCAGACTCCTGTCCCCTGGGACTGCGCTGAAGGCACATGTCTACTTTGAGATGGGCCATATCATGTCTTGGCAATGTGACTATATGCTGGGTGACAGTATGTGTCAATGTGGCAGATTTCAGTGGGTCATCTGGTAAAGGTGGACTATTCTTAGCCAGAGATATAAGCCAACTCAACCAGGTAGACTGTGAATGCCTGATGGGGGTATAGAAAGCAGCACTGCTGTGTCTGATCTGGGGAAAGATAATGCCGATCAGGTTTGCTGCCTCTGCTATGCTGTCACTTCTATTATTGGTCCTGGTTTTTTGCCTTTCTTGATCCTAATTGCCCAATGTTATTTAAAGATGTATTGAAATAGCTGTTGTCTTATGACAGATATCTTAAAGAATTACAGTCTACAGTAGAACAAAAGGACAAGCCAGTTACACTGACAAAATTGGAATTCCACCAGTTTTGCCAGTCACAGGACATCAGCCTGTTGTAGCACAAGCGTGGGACATACATGTGTCTCTTGCTGGGGTCTTAAGGTTCCCAGTCAAGCAGTGTGCACATGGTAAAACTGAATGTGAATAGGTCTGAACAAAGGCAGGCTGCTACCCAACTGCCTGCTCCTCCTGTTCTTCCTGTGAGGACTTTAAAAATAAGAGAAGTTCCAGACATTGAATTTTTCACAGTTAGAAACAAAACCAACGACAACAAAACCCCAGCTTTTCAAAGGTCTAAAAGTCAGTTGTGGCAATAGATCTTTCCATCTCCAGAGTATATTTTTATGATCCTGTCTCCTCCTTCCTTCTTCTGCTCCTCTGGGAGCAGCACTACAGCCCTGCTTGAAGAGTAGTAGCAAGCGGAGAACTGTTTGGGAGTAGCCACAAGATGCCACAACTTGCAGATAGTAACCCTTGAAAATACCACAATCTCCTAATTGCTGCTCTTTGTGTTATATTGACATGATGAATGTGGGTCCATGCATGTGAAGTGAAGAAATGATGAAGTCCTAACTGATGAGTTTCTCCTGCCATTGTCACCCATTTATGATCTGGTGTCTGAAAGTTCCCACTGCAAAAAAACCCATAGATTTATGTCTTCTAGCCAAGAGCTGGAAAGCTCTCAGCTGAAAAACAAACAAACAAACAAACAAACAAACAAAAATCTATGTACTGTGAGCAAGTGGCCATTTTCTTCTTTTCTCACTCTACCCAACTCACATTAGACTTTTACAGCTCTTCGATGTAATCTCACTTCATCTGTGTTTTGCCTGGGACCGTGGTAAGATTCCTCTTCCTCACACTGCCTATAGACCTGTATAAGTCACTAACCTGCACCTCCCCCATTGCGAAAAGACAAAGGGGCTTTCCTTCCACCCTCAGTCCGGCAGTTCCTCTGCTGTGAGAAAATCTCCAGCAGAGGAAAAGCCAAATCTTCTGGTGTCAAAACCCTTCATATATCAAGAAAATAAAACTCATAAGTGGGTCTGATCAATGTATTATTTTCTATCCTCATTCATTGACTATTACTACATGGTTGACTTCAGAGTTGCTCTGGCGTCCCTGGGACTGGGCCCAAAATGGAATGAACACAAAACACTGGAAGCCACTTTCTGCTAAACTCAGCAGAACCTGAGTATACCAGGGAACTGGGGGCTAGATGGGAAGGAAATTGCTTAGCACAGATGTTTAATGTGTAGTTGCAAATGGCAGGCTCCTCCTTTTTGCATAACTTGGACCATAAAGAATAGTAGGATGCACATCATCCGAGAGCATCTCACTCCTGAGTGATGCTGGGCCCAAGAAATACGGTAATGGAGCAATAGTATAAGTTGTAATTGCTCCGTTTTTGTTTGAATAAAACCTATTGATCCAGGGAAAAGCATAGCGCAAACCTCAAGAGAAAACACCGAGTTGGCTTTAAATGATTCAGAGCATTCAACACTTTCTTTTTCTCTTTCAAGTAATGGGACCAAATTCATTTCTGTTCTGCCTCCAATAACTTAAGAGAATTAAACCGTTACTGTCGTATATTATTTGTGTGTTTGGCACTGTACAAGACGCTAGGAGTGAGTGTAGTCCGTTATTTTTCTGGACATAATTTCTCTTTGAATTCAGGAGCCTGAAGTTAAACAGTGGCTGCAATATCTCTTACAGAATAATGTCTTGAGAATCCTGAGAAAGAACCTTGTTGTGCATTTAGGGCTTAATTTTAAAAGACCTGAACCTTCATTCATTTGCTGGAGTTGAAAATTATTTTGATGGTCCCCTGACAATGTAAAAAAAAGGTTTTCTGGAGCAATTTTTGACCAACTGAGGATTTCTTAATTATCTCCTTATTTAGCAAACCATTCTGCAGCACTGCAGTGTATGCTGAGGTTCGTTGGTCAAAGGGTATTGCTGGCTATTTTCCACTTCCATGAATATGGAAAATGTAGTGGTTCTTGGTATTATGAAAGAAGGTGTTTGCCTTTGATAAAAGACTTGCTGCAGTCTGGAAATCTGATACAATCTAGTGCAGTCCTCTGCAGTACACTGAATGCCAGCAGAAACCTCAGAGCTGACAGACGTCCTGCATGTCCCCTTCACGGGGGGCTGCATTTTATATATCCTCAGACAGATGCTATTCAGTGCAGGAGCTTGAGTTTCCTCAGTTAATAAGGAAAACAAACAACATGTTTTATGGATTTAAGATGTTGGTTTTTTTTCCTATGCCCAGAATGTTGATAAATGTACAAAATGACTGTCCACCAGTTTCCAGCACTAAATGTCATTCCACAGAGATCATCTCTAGCCAAAGGCCTTGGCATTCAAACAAGTTTCTCTATTAGAGACACTCTCTGTGTGTCCATTTGAAAGTCTCTCTAGATTTGTAGAAAAATTGTTCACAAAAATAGAGTATTTCCAGATAGACTTTTCTGACAAAATTAGTCAAATGCATATCCTTTTCAACGTGTTTAACATATGTTAACGACATTCTCCTGGGCTTTTGTTTCTACAGCCAAAACATCCTAATCCTGACTGGCGCTACTCTGCATCCCTAAGGGCAGGAATGCAAAGGTATGTGTGATGTTTCCCCACATGAAGGGGAATTGTGTTTGTCCTCTGTGAAAAGGACAAAGCTGTCTGGCTCCTCTGATGCCTTAGTCTGAGGATAGCTGTATGCTGAGATGGAAAGCAACCAAGTTCTGCTGCTGTCACTTCCAGTCTCCAAATGTTACAGATTCAGTCTGACTGTATCTTACGTTGTTACTGTACTGCTATAGATCTGTGCTTTTTTTGTGTTTTCTTCCTGCCTTTGGATATGTTGACTGTCAAGGCATAATTGCTACAATATTGAATTATTTAACTGTGATTATGTACTTTCTATTTACTTTAAAGCTTCCTTTAATCACCAGTACTGATACGTTTCTGTAGACTCTCTGCAGCATTGATGTATTTTCTATCTTGTTTCTCGTTACCATAAAAGTGTGTTGCTCCCGCAGTTTATTAACCACATGATGCAATCAAGATGATTAATGTAATTTAAAGGGTATTTTGAAGATATGAGAAAGATTTTCAAAAAAGGAAAAGTGGGACTGTGTCTGAATTTCTTTAGACCGAACTTCTTTAGAGGACGGTGTCCTCTGCCTAACATGGCAAGCAGTCTCTGCTATTATTTGCTACTAAGGACACCTGGAAAAATAGAATTATAATAAAGTTATTTTTCTAAAGCCTAAATAAAATAATATTTTTTCTCTCCTTTCCTGAGCAGATTAGAAAACTAGTTTTATATTCGGGTGTAATCTGGTGTGATTAATAAGACTACCTTATAGGTCTAGATGCAATTATAGGGCTGCAGTAGTTCCTGGTAGCACTACAAAGGGCAGGTTGCTTTTCCCAAAATTGTTGTTGCAGTGGGACTGTAGTCATCACCTTTTATCCATTATCCACAGGGCTGAACAGTCAGATTCAGACTGACCATCCCTTAGACTGTGCTTCATGTGGGTGAGGGCTATGTCCCTTTTCCAGCTGACTTTGTGCTGCTGTGTGCAAAGGAACCTAAACCTCAGGGACCAGAAGGAGAGGAAGTGAGAGCAAGCTTGATTCTGTGGTCTGTTGGGCAAACTGGTTTCTTCCTTTTATGTTTCTGCTATTGTGTTGAGGTTTTTTTAATCTCTGACTGCTTTATTCAAAATGAATAAACAGTCTGGGAGCACAATGACAGCAGCTTAGAACTAACCCCACCAACATTTTGTCATTTGCTTGTAACAGTAAAATAGGTGTGTAACTTCCTTGTTGGTGACTTCCAGTCAATGAAAGCAAAGTGTCCTGCAGGTATGTTTTTTGGGGGGGGGGTTTTGTTGTTTTTTTTTTTTTACAAGCTGTGCCACAACTATGTTTTAGTAAATAATCAAAGATAATTTGTGCAAGTCAAACCAGTTAGTTCTCCATGCTCCAGCAGAATTTGTTATCATCATGCAATACTACAAATGGCTATGACTTTTGAAGAGTAGCAAGAAAGGGAGAGATTTTAAAGCCAGGGCAGAAGGGAACTGTATAATCTAATGATGATATGTGCTTCTTCAGTGCTGTGCATATGGAAGAAGCAGGAATCCTACGTGGAGGACCAGGAGGGCCTGATCAACAGTGGCCAACAGTGTCCAGTGCTGCTACAGGTAAGGGTGTGAGAATTCAGAACGTATGTGAGCAACTAATGTTAACTGATGCTTCCACCTTAGTTTCTCTTCTGTTTTGTGTCTCTGAGTGAAGTTCTTGTAAATTAATCTGTGGAATATAAATTCAGTGGAATAGTGAAGCGCAAAATACATATTTTTCTGGACTCGGTCTCAGATGAGCACTGGAGATAAGAGTCCTTGATCCTAGCTTTCACTCTGCCTTTGGAAGTTATTGGTTTACATAATGGAATAATGGTAGGGCTTCAGTTCTGATGTATGTATTCAGATTAAAAATGCTTGAGTCTAGAATTGGTTTGTCCTCCATTTCAAAAGAACAGTAAAACTGGGGTAGGAGCTTCTCAGTTCTTTGTTATTTTTACAAACCCAGTAAGTCTTTTTGAATGTCTCTTCTCATTTTCTGTGGTGAAATCAGATCTTTTTCTTTTTTTTCTTTTTTTTTTTTGCTAGCTATTTTCATTCAGTAACACACTATGATGAAAACTAAACTATTATTTGCTTGTCAAAATGGATGACCAAACCCACATACTAGAGTGTAGCTTCATTTACTCAGTCACTGATGACTTCACATCAGTCAATATGAATTGGCAAAAGGTCTTCATTGAGTTAAGAAAATCTGCACTGAAGGCAATAAAATATTCTTACTTTTTATGCTGGAGCAGGGGTAATAGAGACGTCATGGAGCAGCCACTCGCTGGTGTGGTCAGCGGTTTCAGTCACATCCAAACTATTATGTCATCTTAGTGGATGTCCTGTGTAGGGTTGAGAGAGCTGTATGACCGCTCTGTGAGCACTGCAAGCCCTCCAGAAATTCAAATGAGGAGTGACACTCCTATCACAGAGGCAGCTCAAAGGCCAAGAAGTGGTGTCTCCAGCAGAAAAGATATGAGAGCTGCTATATTTAATCTTTCTTGGTGCAAAACTTTCTTGTTGCTTTAATGGACTTTTTACCTGGATAGAGAGCTGAGAAGTAACTTCAGGATTTACAATCACAGTTACAGCATAGCCAGGACTTAATGGTGCCCAGCAAAATCTGCACTGGTGTTGTGGTAGGGTTGTCTGCAGAAACAGATTTGGAAATTAATATAATATATAATGGGCCCCTAGGCTATAATTACCTGGGGTTTTCGTGCTCTTCCTTCTTTTGCAGGCTTTGCAGGAAGAACCAGCTTGTGCACGTTATGAAGGGTGTGTAACTGTTGAGCTTGCATTTGGAAATGTCACCACAAGTACACTTTAACCTTTATAAAGAGTTTCCCTCAGGCTTTCAGCTGTACTAATCATCCTTGGCTGAGCACTTAGTGTATTACCTTATACCAAATTCAATATGGATGCAAATATTCACCCAGATGTTCGCTTGCTGGTAAAGCAGATTTCTAAGTACCTGAATGTAAATGCAAAAGTAGGACGGCCCTGTCTTCTGAGGACGTCCACTGGCATTTGGGTCCCAGAGCCTTATTCCACTACCTGGATTCTTCACTGCTATTCTTTTAGGTTTATCATTTTAGACTCACTTTGGGAAGCTGAACATCTCTTTGTCTAAAGACCCAAGTAGCCCTTGGCCCTTATTGCTCGTCTCCTCCAGGACCATGCAGTGAGGCACTTGTGCAATGAATGCATCCCTGTCACGCATGCTATGTAGGGACTATACAGGGTAGAGAAAAGTGTTAAGGCATAGTGAGAGTAGAAACTGGCAGGAGGCCCTGTGGAGCTGAGCACCTGGAGAGTCCAAATGCCAAGGTTGTTTACTCTGGCCCTTGCACTGAGCATTGCAGATCACTGTTTCTCTATGTTTTTTATTTCTAGGTAATGTATACAAACAGGTTGTAAGAAATATCTTCAGCAACAGGAAATATTTCTGCCATACAGGAAGATGTGACTAATAAAAACTGCATTATGGAATACCCACTCTAGTTACAGCTACCTTTAAATCCAATTTTTTTGAGTCAGGTTCCTTATAATTGAGAATTTTTTTCCTGGGCAATGAAGACTCATTTATTTTGTCTTTGTCCATCCTCAAGGGATTTGTGACTCTGACATAACACTGATTTTTATGTCCTTTTTTAAGAGGACTTCAGGTAAAAAACTGCTCTTTCTAGACAAAAGCTACAAATATCCCTAATCCTTAATACCAAACAGGCTATTCATAGGGAAATCTCAGTTAGGATTAATGATTGTGTTAATTTATGTATCTTAAGTACATCATTATGCATCATATTTAAAATCCTATCTGCAGTTTCCCACGAATATCTCTTTCAATGCTTCTTTTTCTGGCTTAGGTTCAAGACCTGTAATATTTGTCATCGGGTTAGCATACACAGAAGAGATTCAACTCATTATGGTCAATTGCAGTTGATTGAGTCAACAAATGCATTTACTCCTGACATATCACTTGCATATGAATGGAGTAGTGCACCTGGGTCCAGATCAGCTCCTAGATAAGCTATTTGTTATCTCTCTTATCATCAGCATACTGATGATGTCTCCACTTCCGATCACTAGAAACCACTTCCAGGCCTGTTCTCTGCATGCATTCTCCATGCAGTTGTTTTAGTCAATTGATTAATCCCAATCAGTTTGTCACTAAACCTTTCATTGAATTTAACAATCCACAAAAGCCACAGGTTGGATGCCTCACAGAGATAGAAATTTAATCGATGAGAGCATTCAAAGATGATGTCATAGGAAAACTTCAAGAAGGATGAAGTCATGTGTTAAATCAGTAAATCCTTGATACCTAGTGCATACCTGTACTTGAACAGCACATGATGTTTCAGCATATATGTGTTACCTGAGCAAAACCTGGTCCTCATTTGACGGACAGCACTCCTATTGACTTTATTGCATATTTCACCCATGCAGGGAACAGTGAGTTTTGATCTGGCATTTTTTAGTTGTCTTTGCATTTTCCAATAGTCCAAAAGTTTGGAGGATTGTAGTCAGGATGCTTCCAAGTGAGGTGGGCCAAGAAGGTTTAAACTTCCTCTGTGGAGAGGATAGCATTATATTTAGCTCTCATTTGTCCCCCACATGCTAAATGGTGAGTTCAGGAAATGCAGATAGATTTCTGGTTTTGCTCTATGTCCTTTGACAGTTTTAGCAATTAGATCAGACTTTCTGTGGGTGACCACTAATCTGAGTGAACTTTATTTTTTTGGATGCCTACCTCAAAAGAAATGGAGTTTGATTTGCAGAAATAGTGGGAGCTCATAACAGAAACTAAAATGAATGGAAACTTTGCTCTAAACACACAACACTGGTGATTTCTGAATAAATCAGACCGATGCATAATTGAGAGCTTAGAATTCGTGGGCATTAGACAAATCTGTGTGTATTTCACTGTGCTCCTCATTCCAATTTACAAGACAGAACTGGTAATGTAAGTGCTTCACAAAAACAATCTAAAGATGCTTTTATAGCACATATAAAGACTCCTATGATAAGGTTTTGTGAGGAAAAACAGCCAAGAGGAATTTTTAAACCATGTATTCAGTGTAGACTTTATATATGTGCAGTAAATAAGGCACTGGCCGTATATAAAGAGGGAAAAAAATACTTCCATTCAGACAGCTCTGTAAATAACAGAGGAAAGAATCTCATGACAAAATCAGCATCTGAAATTTATAAGCATGTAAGTGAAGACCATGGGTGAAATACTGGCATCTCTGAAGACCACAGCAAATAGCCCACTGATTTCAAGGAAGCTAGGATTTCAGTGCTGTTCCTTCCTCCTGCCTAGCTGTGACCTTTTTACCCATGTCTTTCTAGCTAGGGATATTCCATGCCCATATACTCTCAGACATTCCTGGTTTTATGTTGGGAACTGCAGTTGCTCTGGAATAGATTTATATTGCTCTCAGAGGATGGTTCCTGCTGCAATCAGCTGGGCTGCAGAGGAGGTCCATTAAGAGCCATGGGCTGTAGAATAAGTGACAAATACTGAAAATTAAGTGAGAAGCAACTATAAATATGGCAAATAAACAAAGTTATCTGAAAAGTAAAGTCAGTCTTCCCAGTAAGTTTTGTACTGCTGGTTTGGAGTAAAGTCTTGTAAATGGAATGACTGTGGGAAAGCCATGAAGAAAGGAAAAGGGACGTTTGCGTGTCTGAGCCTAGGGCCCCGGAAAGAAGATCTGCACACTGAGGCTGGGTTATAGATTGTGATGAGAGGTACAGAAAGCCATACTGCTGTTAGTTGTTCTTTTCATGGAAAAATCATTTGATTTGTCTGCATCTTTGAGTCCATTTAACATCAGCACAGAATGAATAAATTATTATTTTTACCAGGTTGACTCTTCCACTGTTCTTGAAATTCAGCAGACATAACAGTCCAGTAAAAGCTCACAGGGGGCCACAGAACTGTCACAGGGCTCTTAGCCTCTGAAGTATTTTTCTAAAAAATAAGTTTAAAGAGAAAGAGCCTAAGAAAATAACTCTGAGATTTATGGGACCTGAGGTATAACATATTTCATATGATAAAGCTTTACGCTGTGGTTGTAAATGGAGAAAAATTTCTTCCTAAATGTCAGTGAGTTTCTATTCACCTTCTTCAAATGACCTTCCTTATCCCCAGAAAAACAGTTTAATAGAGACTCATCAAGCAGTCACTGCAAAGAATGTGCAGGGGCTGAAAGTGACTGGTAAAAATTAATTTACACCTAACAGCAGAGAACACTAGTCTGTCTTAGATTTAGCACTTCATTGATTAAAGCTAGAAAAGGCAATAAGTAATTAGCAACCCAGAATACAAAACTGTGATCTTGATTTGTTGCAGTATGCTGCAGCTATGTAAGATGGAAGGAGCTAGAAAATGCAGCTGTGCACATCTATATCCTCTCTATTTATTTTAATTAATAAAAAATTTTCTATGGAAATTCATAATTCCAACTTTCAAACCCGGACATACCTACGTATCAAAATACCAGCCCTAAGAACCATACCTGAAGTGGTCTAAGAAACACTGAGATGATATGTGTAATAAT